GTGGAAGAAGAACGTTTGAAGCCTTCAAGGAGATATTGCGACGTGAAGGACCAGCGGATTGGGGTTTTCCCGGGTCCTCGGACATGTCAAGTGGAATGGTCCAGGCGGCTGTGCTGAAGCTCACAATGGCAAAGGTCTCTCCTGATCCAAACCGTTCTCGCTTGAAACCGATCAGAATAAAACAGGCACAGCACATGGGATAGACAACAGCCTTTCGAAACGACAAACAGTTCACATCTGGCGACAACAACTTTCACAAAAATCGCAATCCTGTCCTAGAGCCCTGCTGACAGCTTTGTGCAACCTCTCTAAATCTTCGAATCCTGCCAATCGAAAACTCCACACTCGTCTTGATGAAATTATTGAGGGATGGTAATGCTCACAAAGCACCTGCAGGCAAGCGCAAACCGACTGACTGGCTGTCATTTCAGATATATGATTCAGATTGATTCAGGGCTCTGCCCGATATGCAAACCATTCCCCAAGGGCCAAAACGGGCCGTACCTGCAGTGTCCAAATTAGAAGCTGGCCCAAAACCGCGTCAAGTGACGCAAGCTGCTGAAACCTGTCGACGTCAAAGCTCCTTGAAGATCTCCAATATCAAAGTGCTTTGCATCATCCAGATCATGGTGTCCTGAACCGAATGATCACAGAGCCAAAATCGAACACGTGTCCAAGACCGATCACATGTCCAATTTGGTTGCATCCGTTGAAAGTGGAAAACCGTGCAAAGACATGGACCAAGCCAGCCACTCTGATCTGACGTGCTTTCAGACCCTAACTTTCCATCGTTGCATTCCTTGGATTCTCATCGCGGGACGCACGGCGCAGGTGAGAATGGGCAGCCATTGGCTCAACGTACGCATAAGCATGCATGAACGGCCTGAGATTTGGAAGACTTGAGCCAGTTGGGCTGAAAGCGCTGAGATGACTCTTCGCTGAATGTTCAAAACACATGCTACGCGGCTATGCCATTCTTGTGAAGGGCCCTGAAAAAAATACAAAAAAACAACATGTCCAGAAGACGCAGTAAGCGGTTCCCAGCCCTCTTGAACCTCGGAGTGCTCACACACCCCATTGGAAAAAAGCAAAACATCTGTCTGTGGCTCAAAACCATCGGGTGCCAATCCAACTCACTCCCTTGTAAAGGATGAATCGACCATATCTTGCAGGTTTGGTTCTCGTCTGAGGTTTTGAGCCACGCGACGGCCGTTCTTCTCCTCTGTTTCAGCTCTACACGGCCTCACAAATCCTTCGCGTCTTCCGGAGAGGCGGAAGCCCTGGGGCGGCTCCTGTGCAACTGGCTGCCGCACTCCTTTGAGTCGTAGGAGGCGCTGGTTCTACCCTTTGGATCAAGCGCCAACTGCACTTCGTGCAGTTTGGAATCCAACTAGTCACGTGCTCACCTGCGCTGAAGCGAAGGCAAGCGAAGGCAGCTCTTGGCCTGGAGATCTATCGAATGCGGTCACAGTTCGCCCATATATCTTATCATTCACTTTGATTCAACCTTCTTACCGAGGTGTTGGATGGCTGAAATGACACGAATGCCATGGTGATCTCTGTCTACCTGACCCACGCCACGTTTCTCTTCACTCCGCATTAAATTCTCTTCAGACACTCCTAACACGAGCCTGCGAAGCTGTCGTTTTGAACAAAAATGTGAAAACAAACATCCAAAACAGATAGAAAGTCTAAAGGTGGGGCGAGCGGTGTGTTCTCAACGTGTTTCGTGCTTTGGCTTCTCTCAAGCACCATGTCTGTTGAAAAAGAAGATCTATTCTCTGTCATCTTTAAGAATGTGCATCTTCTTCAAAAACCCTTCACAGCAGCACTGTCAAAGGTCTGGATAGGCCCAACACTTGGACATGAGTTCACAAACATGTGCAGGAAGACTCCATAGTGTGAACTTCTGACAGGATTGAAAAAAGAGAACTAGTGGCATTAAGTATGTCGGATTTTCCAGGCACGCCTGATGATCTTCCGACGTAGAGACTATCCAACTGGCCAAGCGAAGCACGTCGAATGAAAGAAACGACGGGAGTTGTGAGGCTGACAAGCTATGATGCTCTGTCGCAATCGCTGGCATGGCCGACATGCTAACAAAGTGCTAAATACTGACAGCGATGACAGCGATGACAACCCAAACCAACATTGACCCTGTATGATGGCCCGTTGGAATTAAGACCATCTTCCTGGACAAACCAAGTGAGTCTGAAATCTCACGCCTTTGCCAGAGTAAGCATTGAAAAGCGCTTCTTCTCACGAGTTGCAACAGAGCTGTTGCAACATCTCGTCATGGCCTTGCAGAAAAGGAAGCCACGCGTCTCAAGGGACTTCGACCTATCTTCGACCCATCTTTTTCGTAAACAAAACGAGGGTCCCATTCGATAGGAGATCGCTAGCATCAAATTTCAACGAACATCCCCGGCGCTGCAACAACCAAGGGCCCACTGAAACAGCGACCGTTTTGCTCATCAGCCCATTTGGAGAGAAGGGTCAAGCGAACTATATAAAACTGCATCAGCTTGGTATTGAGCCTTTTGCTCTCTTCACGCGTGCGTGGGAAGTTGTTTTAACGCACGTGTTGAAAGGTGGAGACTTTGTCCAAAACCAAGCAGTGATGCAGGTCCGTACATCTGCGCACGTCCCTTTTAGGGTGAGAACGTGTACAAGACCAGTGGCAACCTTTTGGGAAAACACAAACTTTTGGAATGCAGAGAGTATGTATTCTACACTGATCTAAAACTCCACACAAAAGCCCTAAGGACGCGAAGTGTGACTAAGTGAGCAAGGAATGCCAGCAGCTTGTGGAAGGCAGAAAAACTGCCTTCAAGCAACCACCTTCGGAACGTGGCAACCACCTTGTGGTTTGCCTCTACGTGTGGACGTTGCCGTGCACCACCTTCGTGCGCTTCCCTCGGGACTCTCTGGAGCTCCGGGAGTTCTCTCGGAGCTCTTTGGAGGATTTCGAGGCGCGGGAGCCTTCTTTGCTAGAGTCAGCGGATTCAAACTCGGAATCAGAATCATCAGAATCTGAAGATATATCGATGTGAGAGGAACTCAAACGCAGCACGAAATCCTCTTTCGAGCCTTGGTCGTGGTGAAAGAACTTCCTGTGTGCAGCTTTGACCTCGTGCTCCTTCCTTCTCAACAACCTCTGAACCGTGTCCATGTTGGGCGAGATACGGTGTATGGCTCTGTGATATACATTTGCCAAAGGAAACACATAGATGGCCAAGAACTTGATGAGAGCAGCGCTTGCTGCCAGCAAAGCAAAGCTTGCACTGAGCTCCTCCAAGAGTCCAAAGGTCGTGAAATGAGCCAATGTGCCACTCACTCGAAAAACGAAGAGAATGCCGTAATCTTCCACTGCCCTGCGAGAAGCCTGACTACCTGCTTCCTGGCTCACGGCTGCTTCAATGCTATGGCTGCTGCCATAAATCAGAATCTCCCTCAAAACGTAATAAGGCTCCACTAGGCCTCGCCATGGCTCGAAGCTTACAATGTCCATTTCAAAAATCACCTGAAAGCCATGAGCACGGGCACGCTCTCCATTTCGAACAACCCCGGGCTTGTCAAGCATGCCCTCGCCTAGGCCCATTGCCCGCAGCAATGTTTTGATGAGGAAAATATCATCGCCGGCAATCTTGATGTCTGCGTCAATGTAGCATGGGGCCGTCTCTTTCGGCACACCACCCCTTGCTCTGTCGAAGGCCTTGTGCTCTTTTGATCTCTCTCGACAAAGCTCATGTTGTGTTTCATTGGGCGGGCCCGATCCTTCAACCGCGTTGCCCACAAGAAGTCGGCCGTGCAAGCTACGGCCTTGCAAAATGGTATGCTGATCTTGTTCATTCACGTTGGTCGTGAAGATAGTTGGAGCGACCTTCATTGTGAAGTGTTCAATGTCAAGTACAAAATGGTGCTCCTTGGTTACCTTTGACAACTGTAGCCCAAGCTGTCTCTGCTTGATCTTCTTGTGCGTCACCACTGTGAATCGGTTGGCTTGTTCAATCGACGCCTCTTCTCCCAGAAGCGGAAGACACCATTGCTTGTGGGCGGCGAGTTCCGTGGCGTTGCATGGAAAGGACCAGCAACAATAGGGCAGCTGCTCCTTCGGTAGGAGTTGGTCTGGCGCTCGTAGAGTCGCCCTCATTTCCATAGCCAGATTTGGTTTGTGCAAATAGCCACCCAAGACCCAAAGACGATACACCAGGATGTAGACAGCAATCAAAAGCATCAAGCAAAGATTCAAAAGGCCCAATCTGTAGTCCTTAATCACAGCAACTACTGGAGCTCTGTATGTGAAGATCTCATTGATATCCACACGCCCAAGCTGGGCGCCCATGGCGAACAAGTGTGACCTGTTGTGTTGCAACTTCTGAAAAGAAGAAAACACCAAGAGAACACAAAACAATGAGAGCCTGGAGACTCGAGAATTGTGTATTTGGCATGAACATGCACGCACGTGGTACAAGGATGTACACGGCACATCCCGCAACTGTGCGGGTACAAAGCCAAACGTGCGGTGGCGCGATCAACCAATCTAAGAAAAGCTTCACAGCGCCCTGGCAACTCAAAACGAAAGAAAACGTTCTTGGGCCCATCCAGTGGAGTACATTCGATGGATGTCGTGCATTCTTAGGGCAAAGACTCAAAACTGAATGAAGAAAACAAACTATAGATTTCACTGGAAACACAAAGAAAAACGTTTGCACACATTGAAGGTCTGGCTGCAACCTGGCCGAAACAAACCTGTAAATTCTGTCTTGGGCCCGGACACATCCAAAAAAGGACTTGTTTGGCTCAGTGCGGCTGGCACCTACAGAAAAATACTCAACCCTTTGGCTGTGAATGCGCAAGTACATTTGAGCCCTGTCGCTATCTGAAACCTCCATGTCTTCTCTGCTGTGGAAGTTCACAGATCGTTTTTGCAGCGCTGCATGGTTCAAACAATGCACACCGTCTGGCTGCAGCCTTTTTGTCTTTCAGAGTCAGGCGTGTCAAAGGGTGACACCACGCAAGATGGTAGGAAACTCTTCAGGGTGTTCAAGAAGAGCCTGTGGCACATCATCTTTATGCACTTGGGATGGATAAATCTTGTAGTCGTAGGATTGAGGGTTGGCATAGAAAGAGCTCTTCAGGAACTTGGCCAGCGCAGCCTCATCCTTGTAGTCTCGGGCCCACACTGGTCGACCTTCGACTAGGAGAAAGATCTTTCGAGCCAAGCCCTCAGCACCATTCAGGATCCAACCCAGGTGCCAACCAGTGGGGCCATCTCTGGAGCTCAGCAGATTTGGCCGATCCCAAATGGCCTTGGCTTCAGCGAAGGAAGACATGCCAGAAGTGGACGAAGTGAATGAGGTGGACCACTTGGCAGGGTGATCCTCACTGAAGAATGAAGCGGTGGTAGGGTGTTCCCAATCACCCGTGGTCCACCCGATCGTGTAGTAGAAGTTGCCCATGCGGATGCGCGTGTTCCAAGCGCCAGAAGCAGGCTCGCAGTTTCTCAGAACCTGGAGCGTCCGATGGTGAACGATCTCGTCCAGGTCGCCCTCAAGAAGGACATCCGCTGGATCGCGAGGAGTCGACTTCATCTCGGAGTCCATTGACAGCCTCAAAGGGGGTCAATGGACAGCAGTGAAGCTAGACAACTCGTCAGCAGTGTCAGGAGAGAAAACCACACGATCCCAAGTCTCAACGGTTGAAAACAAATCTAGTCCTTGCAGTAACATGAGAACCCCCGTTCCCCTTGATGACCAAGAATGCTAGCCTGAAATAGATTCCTTCCTGTAGGGACCCCTCAAAGCTACTTTGGCTTTGGCAAGAACGATGCCTCTGAGCATTTTGCAAGTCGTAGTCCTTCACTCCAGCAGGGATCTTGGCTTTGTGATAGGTGATCTTGTGCTTCCACGCGTCCAACTTCCCACGCACCAGATCAAACTCATACTCCTTGGGAGATCCAGTGAAGTCACGATCACCCTCAACTATGTGGAACTCAGCAACTTCATCTCCCATTTCATACAGGCGAAGCAAAAGCACTTCAATCTCAAACTTGTTGCCGAAGGCGAAGGTGTCGATGATCTGCCCAGGCTGTTTTCTGGCCTTCAGCTCGATGGCTTGACCTTCTCTGGTGGTCAACGTGGAGCCATTGCAAATATCTTCAAGCACCCTCAGACGCTCAGATACTGCACAGGTCGCGTATGCAAGAACAAGGATTGCCAAGCTACTTCTCATCTTTCACAGTCTTGAGCCACTGTACGAGGTGACAAGTCAGACAAAGTACTTCACACTTGCATGTGGAAGATGCCCAGCAACTCTCAGTACGTTGTTAAAACCATACAACTTGCTTGTCCTCTCAAGTAGCTCAACCAAGACTGTTGAGTTTGTCTTCGCCCGTTCACGCCCAGCCTCTTGCAGTGCAAGGGAATTCTGCACAAGAGCCAGAGCCGCTTGCACCATAATATCCGTATTGTATGTGTGTATGTATTCGTATATATATATATTATACCACCAGTATTATTGTTGTTATACATATACTGATGTTATACAGACATGTGTATATATGATACGTCCAAATTGCAAATGGCATGCGATGATACAGCAAGGACGCAGGAAGGCACATCACGTACTTCATGTAAGACTTTCACCCCTGGGTTGATGTAGGTGACGGGCAGAAGTGGACAAATCAAAAACTTATGTCTCCCGTTGATGAAATGTGTACGGCAAACAAATAGAACTCCACAAGAAAAACACTGGAAGCAGCGAAGATCCTGAATTTCAGAATAGTATGGTTTTGCTTGATCCATGCACAAGAAAAGCAGACTGGACGGCAGAGTCACTGGTGAAAAGCGGGATGATCGCCGAATGAGTCTTCAACAGATTGCCCTTCTTTATAATCAGTAGGTACCAATAAAAAAGATTCAAGACAAATGAGGATACTTAAATGGCGTGAGCCAATTGGCCTGGAGGAGTTGATGTGGACCTCCAACAATCAGCGAACAGCAAGATTCGAAAAACGCTCCCTTTGTGTGGGAAGTGTCAACAGCTTGCTGTAGTCCCATCAACAAACACACCGGCAAGGAACTCATGCAGGAGCGGAGCTTGCAGCAGAATCGGGTCACAGCTCTCATGTCAGGCACAAACATGATGGACTCCATACTAAAAGCAGCTTGTCAGTGGCATGCCGTGAACGGCAGCTAGCCTTCTCCCTACTATGGCAGGCTTCAGTCTTGATTGAGACTTATTGACGCTGAAGACAGCAATTGTGGAAAGGAGGAAAGAATCGCTTACCCTGCAAGTGACCAAATCCTCCAGGTACAAGAGGCGTTGTGCGCATTTTCGCTAGACGCTTCTTGCAGCCAAACAGGATGCGAATGATGTGCTGCCGCGTCTCTCCAAAACACCAAGCAAAATCTGAGCACGAGTTCACATTGTTCATGTCTGTCCTGCCTGATATATTGGTATCGACTGCAATGATCAACAGCTTGACCAGGCCTTGTACTTGCTCCTGACAATAAACAAAAGGCTGTTGTTGAACACAAAAGCTCCGTGCTATTTCTGCTCTTCATGTCATATGGATGCATTTGGTCATGTCTGCAACCAACTCCTGTACCTTGTGCAGGAGTATGCCCTTCAAGCGGGCTTAACCTCGGCATGAACACCATCAATCGCAGCTTGCACACACACACACACATCAACGCAACACAAGCAGCAAAGAGTCGAGTGTTTCTAGCCTAGGCAAATCGTCTGAAGAGCTTCAAGCGAAGTTCACTAGTGGTCCTTCAGATAAACGTTGTTGGGGAAGTGCTTGATTGCATCTTCCACTGCCTTGGATTCATTCTGGAACTTGTGCAAATCCTCCAGCCTCATACTCTTCAGACACGACCAAGGCTGCCCCGAAGCAGTGGTAGAATTGCTGGTTTGGCTGGATGCCTTGAATGCTTCTTCCACTGTTCGTGCATCCTCTGCGGTCTTTAGAAAACCTGCTACCTGGGGCCAAAGGTTTGGAGATCTATAAACTGTGAAGATATGCGAAGAAACGTGCCGCTCTCCCCTGATAGATGCACTTGATGCTTTAGGACAAGTCAGATTGGAAACAAGCAATCTCAAGCGTCCTAAGAAGAGGCTACACTGGCAGCCAACCACGTCAACAATTGCAAATACAGCATCCAAACCTAAAGAAGTGCGAAAATGTCTTCCCATTGACAAATCTAGCCTCCAAGTGAATGATGCAAATTGGCGCAAAGGCCCCGATAAGTCTGGGTTCGAAGGGCTGCTCCTCCTTAAATGCATGAAGGTAGAGCTTCCGCATAGGCACTCTTTCTGCCAGCTGATCTCGTCGAAGAAGGGTTTCTACAAAGTGCTCAAAAACAGGAACAGACATGGTGAATGCTGGCAGTTCCATTCTTCGCAACTTCGGGAGCTTGGCGAGCGCCGAGAAGAAGCCATCTTGATGGGACATGCTTGACTGCCTTGGCCCGCAGTTCCAGCACTTCACGAACAAGGTGTTAAGGTTGGGAGTCCACTTCAAAATGATGCCAAGGTCACTGACTGCGAGTGGTGTCAGTAGATCAATGTCGAGTTCCTGAAGACCCTTTCCACTGAACTTCAAGAAAGAAGTCATAGCCTGGGGAACGGAAAGATAATGACCTTCACGTACTGCGACCTGAACTAAGTTCTTGAGCATTTCGGGTCCAAAAGTCTCTGAAATCTTGATGAGCCATTGTGAAGCATTGAACCTTGGAGAACCTCTTCTCAAAAGGAGACCCTCCCAGGCGCCCTTTGCCTTCTCTCTGAAATTGGCGAAAGGATTGGTGGATCGGCTGCTCTTTGCTTTCACCATCAACTTCTCGATGAGACCCCAACAACCTGTCCGCAAAGCCCCACCGAAGAACAGCTCGATAACGTTGTGACGAGGAAGTTGGTTGCGGTCTAAGGTGTCCAGAAACATCTCAACGATGACGTCAAATGAGGCATTCAGGTATGTTGGTTCCTCCTCTTTGCTGTCAAAGCTCATCAAGGAGGAAAACAGAATCTCTCGCGGAATGGACACCGACTGACGTCCTCCCCTCATCGCACCATGGAATAGCAAGTTGACAGAGTCGTACTGCCAGTTTCTTGGCCCAACATTCCCAAAGCATACCTTCTGTTGGTCAAAGGGCTTGAAGCATGCAACAGCCTGAAGAAATGCCACTGGGGGGATTCCTGGATTGATCTCCGGCATATCACCTCTCAAAGCAGCCTCGACGATACTACAGAATCTTGTCGTGTAGTGCTGCATGCAGCCAGCCGCCAGCAAGGTACACAAGGCATCTGCTGATTGGGTCATTGCACGATCCCATTCTTCTTGGTTTGTATTCTTGGAGAATAGCTCACACCCATGATCTCTGGCCGACCAAGCTGCGGGGCGATCAACGCCGGCAAACTGCACTTCAACTTTGTGCCAAGCTTTCAAAGGCCAAAGGTTGCTTTCTGCCATGGCATCAGTTCTGGGAACGATCTCAAATTGAGGAGCAAGGTCTGGGAACCAACGTGAGATGTTCAAGGAAATAGGCTGGGTCTCCCACTGGCCAGGCCCATTACATGGTCTGTAGCGCTCTTGCAACAGAGTGCTCTCCGTGCAGCGGGCAAAGTGCGGCAAGTTGGAGTCGTCTGCGTCTGTGGCACCTGCCGGCAGCGCACCATATTGCACGATGAAGTGCTTGTCTGCGAGAATGGGAACAATGACCAATGTCAGCAGCTTATATGTCATTGGGTCATACTCTGAGACCTGCACAACCAGATTGCCTTCATCTGTGACGGAGCCATTGCAGGGGATCTCTTCCTGTTGCGATGAGGAGTGTCCAACTAAACTCACCAGGACATCCATGGCAACCGGTGCACCTCGCCGCAACACCACTCGCGCCGCCTCCGATGAAGGCTGTGAGCCAGAGGCACGGAACATTTCAAAGACCAAGGCAGCTTGTCTTGGCACCTGCAGATCGTCACAATCAGCGGTACCCAACGGAACGTTGGGAACACGCATGCGTGTGTCAAACATGTCTCCTAGACCTGCTTTCTTGTTTGGCATGTGTCCTCCAAAAGAAAAAACTTCGCACAACAAGAAGTGCCTTATCCTTATCATGGAAGAACCTAAAATTGCTTTGCTTAAACTTGTTTGCATGCCAGCTGAGCCCTTCTGCCCAATACGCCTCTTCTTGCATTGCTCCAGATTTTGAGAAGATCCACTTTCAAAAGTTGTCCAAGTGGTGTCCAATGCAACCTTTGAGGCATTTGGCAGAATATGCCCGGGAGAGTATGGAGGACCCAGGGCAAAGTCGGCGAAGACCACGGAAACGTTCAGGTTGCCGTAATCCGGTGGGATGCTGAGCTCACTGTCTGTGAGAGCTCCCCAAGAGACGCATCTCTTGAAGGAGCCAAATCGATCTGAGACCCGCAAGAACAGTGGTAGCTTCTTCTGTGGAGAAAAAAGTACTGAGTAGTTGGTGCCCTCCTGACTTTGCCGATTTCCCTGGGCGCTGACATTGACAACTCGAGGGATGCTCATCTCCCCTATTTTGACCGTGATGACTTCAGCTGTCGAGTTGGATAGATCTTGCTCGTATTCATCCCCTTGGTATTGAGGTCCATCACTCATTTGGATCTCCAGTGTCTTTGCATAGGTATCACCAGTAACCATTGTGAAAGACCTCTGGTAGGAGGCGTCCGAGTAGACGACATAGTGATCTTGCCACTTTGCAAAGTGCAGATCGTCATAGGCAGCAACCTCCAACATTTGCAGCTCACCACGAGAGCATCCGTACAAAGCAGTCTGCACCAGTGTGGTAGACAGAGTCAATGTGACGGCCAAGAGGCAGCTGGGCACAATCAAAAAGCCTGTTGCAGAGGAGGGATAATGCACAAAAAATGCTTCCTCTTATATACATCTCCAACACGCAAAGGAATTGCCAAATTTAGGTACGATTCAGTGCATGTCGCCCTTCAGCTAATTTGATCGACTTTGGGGATGTTATCTAAAGGAAAAATCAACTGACTCCTCGTATGTCGAGCTCAAGAAGCCTGCACTCGATCCAGTTAGCCTCCAAATCATCTTGCGATGCCAAGCAATGTCCTTCACTAGATGCAACTCGCCACCTGGCAGGCTGCCGATTCATCAGAAACTTATTTCAGGTGGGTTGAACCTTCACCTCTACTTGACATGCCCAAAAAGCTCTGCTCCCAACAATCAAATCTACAACAGTAGAGGCATGTAGATGGTCAACTCGAGCCTTCGCTTGGATCATTGACATCTTCACTCGAGCTCTCAATCTTCAGAAAGTTATCAGACCGACATAGACTGACCACTGTGCTCCATCTCATGGTCTTCCACTTTTGAAGTTCTGCTTTTCTGTCACTTGGCCTTTTCCCTGGAGGATCTGTGGTTGAGACTACCTCTCCGGATGCTGCTTGCACAACATCTTCGAAAACCTCCACCTTCATCTTGATCTGAACAGAAGCCTGCTCTGCTTCCAAGGAGCTTCTGAGCGCCTTCAAAAGGCTCATGATTGGACCAACCATTGCACTCACCGCGACAGCAATGACCTTAATGGCATCCATGAGCGAACCCCCCACCACTGCCGACCGTAGAAGGCAGACTGCGATGGCAAGCACATAAGCAAACACACCAGCAGCCAACAAACCTGTGACGCGTGCAGTGGAAGGCCTGTTGCACACACAAATTCTCACGTTCAAGCAAGACTGAACCAACTGGTTTCGGCAAAGCACAGTGTAGAAGAGGCAAATCCCAAAGACGCCAAAGACACCAGAACTTGCAATCATAGTCCACACAACGCTCTCTGTGGTACCAAACCTGATCAAGATTGCCACTGCCACAGTTTGCGTTGTCATGACAAGAGCAGCGAAACCCACGGCCAGCGATGTCCCCGCATACAGCTGCGCATTTGGAGTGGACATGATCACAAGCTCTTGTGGGCTTGCACGCTCTTCCGCCCTTCGTTGGATCATCAAGTTACGATGCGCTATGAGAGCCTCTATGCTGGCGACACCACAAAGGGCGAGGAGCGCAAAGACCACCAGGGCAACGCCCTCAGGAATCCACATGGTATCACAACGCCTCTCTGCGGCAAAAGCAGCATCTGCTATGCTGCCAATCTTCATCAGAGATGACCCTCCAAGATGCGCTAATAATGAGCGGCTGCTTTGATGTGGAATCCTGCATAGGCACTTTGCTCCCTGCCCCTCGTGCCACTCACTCGCACAAAGATATGTCGGGGTCTGAAGCTCGGAGAGCCGCATCACATCTTTCGGATCTACAAAGACTTCAAGCGTCGATGCCTCGATTGGATCGCGACGGCTGATCCAGGGCACGAGCCGAGCACTAGCAACCTTGCCCTCAGAGCATTCCTTGCCGGCATAGATTGAGTACTTGCTTCCATGCTTGAGTTTCCACGCTATCTTCACTGGGCAGCATCAGGAAGCGTCCTTGGTTGATCCTGTGGTCACTTGTAGCTCTTATGCACACATTGCCGCCGCACGCATGAGGCTCTTCTTCCACAGCTGCTTGTTCAACGACAAATGCATCGCTGCTTGGGCGGAGGCATGATGCCCAAGGCACGAAAGCGTACAAAACCAGCAAGGCCACTGGAGTCATACGATGTTTCCCACTCATGGTCAATAGGCCAGGTGAGAATATGGATAGAAGAAATCAAGCAACTACAGGCACAATGATTCAATACACTTTACCCTACACTGAGGAACGATAGCTGCGGACATAATGGATGTGTCCTATCGTCCTGAATCTGAATCTGCTCGTAGTAACCTTTCAGAAGACTCAAAGTGCGCACAAAAACGGAAGGACATCATTCTTCAATTCATTCTAACGGTTGTGATTTCTGACACAAGGCATCGTCTACAAGGGCTCCACTCCAAGCACCATCGTGCAAATGCTTCAGCCACCTGGAGCAGTCAACTCAAAAAGAAAACACAACACAATTTATTTTTACATGAGCTAGTTTGCGCTGTCGCCGCTGTTAGCGACCCCAGAAGAAATCGCGATTTTTGGTGGGGTTGGGTTGGGGTGGGGTGGGGCATGTTAACGTTCGCGTGCACTTGGGTCACGAGTTGATGCTTCGTGGTTGATGTGGGGTGGGGTGGGGTGGGGCATGTTAACGTGAAGAAATATGTGCCATACAGTCTGGCGACCCGCGAAGGTTTAGGACAGCGTGACGCAAAACGCGTCGACCAATATGTCCGCACTTTTCAGTTTCGACCACTGTCCACTGTCCACTTCGGCGCTGTGCGAATAGGTCACTATTAGCGGCGGTACCTAATTTGCTGCCTTGAAGCTTTTGCTTTGAAACTCAGTGCGAACAGGTTTCTTCTGGCTGTTTGCTCACGCGGATGGATTGCATTCGATCTTCAATACGGCAGGTTCACGTTGACGCTAGGGGAGTTCCTTAAACTCTTCCATCACCTGAAACATAAAAAAGAGGGGTTCATGCGTAGACAAGAGCCCTGGAACGTTCAATGAGACTACAAGCCAAAAATACCAGCAAGAAACCAAAACAAAGAACCAACAACCACCATCGTATCCACAGAACTAGATTGCCTGCTTAATTTCTTTGCACAAGCATGCCTTCTCGTCCAGAACCGGCCATTCCAGAGAATTTGTCAACGACACCTCACGACATTGCAAATTGAAGATGCCCAAAGGAATTCTTCAAGTTGGTGGCATACAACGCGTGTCATCTGATTTCAACACCATATCAAATGGCAGTTACAAGGAATGTAAAGAAAATAATGATGTTCAATGATATTTGTCACCACAGACTAGCCAAGTCCATGACACAAAGCCAGGCTGGCACATACCTCGTAGAAAGCGTGTTCGCACATTGAACTCAGGCATTCCAAATTGTGCCCTCCAGGTCAGCTCTCATCAACCAGTCCTGCTTTCAAGTTCGGCGCATCTCTGACAGCCAGGACACAGACCTCAAAGCTCAGCATAATCATTGTGTTATGGACACTATATCATGCTAAGTACCCACAAACTCTTGCTTCAATTTGCAAGTGGTTGTGTACAAAGTGCTTATGGCTCGACTGTCTGCGAAGATGTCTTGTAAGACCTGCCCACGCTTTTCTAAGCGCCAGATCTGTCTGCATGGCACTTGGTTCCGCTGCAGGAGCACAGCCCGGGTGCCATGAACTGCGGCTGCATGCCACAGAGGCGCTCACGGCTGTTGAAGTCTCGACTCTCCACCCCAGCAAAGCCATCGAGACTCGCGCCTGTGTCGATGAGACTGTCCTTCTGCCCCACATCTTTGAAGGCTTTGAGGATCGCCAGCCGTCCGCCGAAGCCACCGGACACCAAGAAAATCACATTCTCTTGTGGCCACTTGGCACTCTCATCCTTGATTGCGTCAACGATCTGTGGCACGTGATCCGCCGCATTCGTGGCATCGATGAAGCTGGCGAAGTTCAGAGTCTTCCTGAGCACCTTCAAGTGGCTTGGCCCCACCACAACCACCTTTCGCCCCACCAGAGCCGGAAGGGTTGTCGGCACGATTCGTCCGGTCCCGCCATCTGTAGAAGATGGGTTTCCGGTATGAGTTAGATCCACGTAGAAGACAGAGGTGATGAAGCCCTTGAACTTCGGATGCAGCTGGTGGCTTTGCAAGAAACTGCCAAACTCTGGGCCCACATTGTTTCTGCAAAAGAAGAAGGTGCCAACCAGCACGTACATGTTGGCATCCTCCTCTGCGCCAAGCTCTTGCAAGGATGTGGCCAGGTCTTGGCAAGCGCTCTTGTGGCTTGAATAGCTCACACCTTCTGAGTTCGATCCACCCACACCACCGAGGCAATACACATCACCATCACCGATCCGGATGAAACTCACAGGCTCCCGGCGATGAAGCTTCCCTTCTACGTCGTCGGTGCTGGCATTGCGGAGGTGTCTCTTCATGGACTCGGGTGTGCAATCCTCAGAAGACTCCTGCTCAGCCTCAACCTTCAAGCGATGTGACAACTGTCGGAAGTACGACATGGATGATTCCGCAGTTCCAACGGCGACCACACCCGAACGCAGCGAAGGACGAGCATCAGCTGCGCCAATCTCACGAATTCCATGGACAAGATGAAGACTCTGAGATGCAAATACGAAAATGAGAAAAACAGCCATTCCAGGCTGAGGGGGTCTGATTTAGGGCTGCTTGAGCCAAGCTCGCGAACAACACCCATGCAGCTTTCAGCGGGTGAGCAAGAGGCAAGGCTTGGCATAAGGGCCATCACTCCAAAACATGCTGTGAAAAGCCCTCAGGTCTTGAATCTCCTCGAACTTAGAGGCCCAACTTCCATGATCGAAAGCCCCTCCGAACTCGCTCGATGGAGATGAACCCTGTGGACCCCAAAAGACCCTTGGCCAGCGCCACGCGAGGCTTGGCAGTCCAGATCCAAAGGTTTGGAAACAACACATGTCAGCGATGCACCGGGCAAAAGAAGTGCGACCGGTATTGCCAGCCATGCAACACATCTGGATGCTTTGAAAAGAACAAAAACTGCTTTCGACGGGCTGCCACTTGCGATTCAAGACACGTCCCAAGAGTTGATGATCTTCCATACGCCCCACACGCAGGCAAGCCTGCACCGCACACAAAACAGGGCAGTACTGACCTCACTCGTCCAGAAGTCACCAGCACTCTGCCAAGCCTGATGTTTGTGGAGATGTCGTGTTTGCCCTAGATCACCGTCTATCCTTGGCTCCCAAACATGTGAGCTTAGGAGAGTGAGCCAAAGGAGCAAAATGCAAATTTGGGACAAGCAATCAACTGCTGCTTGCTCGATGTATGGCAATGGACCGACAATCACTGAAGACCTGGCATTGACGCAGTGATGGCGGTGCAGTGCGTTCGGAATCAGCCAGGATCTTCACATTGGCCTCACGAAGCAGCTTCACATGGGACATTAAAGCTCTACAAAAGAACAATAAGGTCAAAGACAACTCACAAATGTTGGACTGTTCCCCATTGGTCTTCCAAGCACCCACCACTTAAGCAGCGATGACCTTCAATGTGACTTCATAGCAACTGAGTTCAGAGATCTGTTCCTGAAGGAGTGGAGAGACATAAGACATAGTTGTACATACAGAATATATTAAACTAAAACAACACTTTCTGGCCCTTTTTTGGAGTGGAAACCCTGGAATCCACAGAGGTGTAAAATCTCGATGTGAAGGAAACTAGTCTTCTAGTAGACCATGTTCCACTTCCATATATATATATATACCTCAGCGGACTAATGGAGGAGCACACAATATCCCACGCAATTGCAGTTGCCGCTTCATTCCTCACATGACTATTGGAATTGTTGGAGTTCTCAAAAGGACAGGCTGGCTGCAGTGGCTTGGCAAGCGTGTGGAAGTCATTGTGTCCGGTGTTTGCCTGGATCTTTTGCTTCGGAAAGCTGTGTTGTGCTGGTTGAACGGTGGGTGTGGGGCGGAACATAAAATGAATAGCCGATGTTGAAACTGTGAGTTCCAGAGTGTCAGCTCCTTGTTACCACCCTGACTCTGTCCATCCTTACGTCCTGACATGAACCTCTGCTAAACCCACTGGGAAACAACATAAAGCAACAATTGGGTCACGTTTAAGGTTTCGACAATCTATATTTCACGACCGACCTCTATATTGAAGTCTTCTCTGGTTGTTTTGGCCGAAACAGCCCAACCATCAAAGAAGCTGCTATGTCCAGTCTCCAGGCTTTGTGCGGGATGTCTGAATCTTTTTAACCTTACCACGGTTCAAGATGTCTGGAGTCCCATAGGGCCTGGAAAAGTCTCGTTCGAAGCATGCTGGTTTCAATTGTCTTCCAAAACTAGCAACGAATGAGCCATTTTGTTCTTGGTGACCGGGTTCAAGTGGAACCAAATCGGAGCATCAGAAGCTGGTTCATATATATATATATATATATACCAATCAGGTAGCAGCAGTTTGTAACTCTGCAATAGATGGAACCATGGCAAAGCACGTCATAAACACTATCTAGCGGCCAGTGTGTATCAAACCCACATGCTGGTGTTCATGATCGCACTTGGATGGTGGCGAAGCTTTCGCTTTGTGGTCTTGTGATACAAGGTTTTTCTAGGACTCCTGACTCCAGCTGAAAACTGCCTTTATATAGAGGCTCGACCCAATTCACTGTTCTTGGAGACGAAAAGGCTCAGCTTAAATGCACCCCTTACCCCCTCACCCTCGTATTGAAGGCTGGGCACTTCAGCGCAGCCGAAGTACAGCACACAAATTTGC